ATAGCAGAAAATAATCTTATGTCACAGCAGATATGGTCACTAGCACCACTATCCAGAATCCATGTAGTGGTAGGGTCAAAAAGAGTGGTAGCTGAAAGAGTAAAAGCAAGGGAAAAAGTAGTACCTGGCGATGGGGATGGGGAAGAATGAGAAGGGGATGCTGCATCTGAATCAGAAGTAGTGCCAAGCGACCTGAACTGAGATTGCAACTGTCCAAACAGAGCCTGAGCTTGCTCCATAGTAAAAGAGGATTTCGGAGAATCAGGGATAGGAGCAAGATGGTCAGGATCAGAGTTGACCATGTTAACAGGATGGGTCTGGGAAGAAGCTCGTGGTTTTGGTAAAAGAGGAGGTCTGGAAGACCAAGGGCGAGGAGGTTTTGAAGCAGGCGGGTAACCATGGAGCTTATAGCATCGAGATATAGTATGACCAGTTAAGCCACAATGGGAGCAAACAGGGCGAGGCTTAGAGGAAATGAGGTTAACAGATTTTGGCCGAGAAATGGGTTGGGCAGAGGTTTGAAAAACCATTGAATCAGGTGGTAAGGCCTGTCTGTGTTTCTCTTCTTGGGCAATCATGCTATAAGCTCGGGACATATCAGGCAATGGGTCAATCATCAGTATTTGTCGTCTGGCAGGATGATAGCTTTCATTCAACTTCATCAGAAATTTAACCACCTTCTTCTTTTCACAAATCTTAATCAGTTTCCTATTTGCCTGGCAAGTACAGCCGCCACAAGTACAGATCGGGTACGGCTCATACATTTTCAGTTCTTCCCATAGAGCTCTGAGTTTATTGAAGAAAGTACTAAGGTTCATAGAACCCTGTTGTAAAAGTTCAATCTGCTGCTCCAGATGAAAAATAGTAGAATCGTTTCGCTGTTTATACAGCGTTTCCAATGTAGACCAAATGACAGCAGCATCATCAAGATACATAACTTGAGTTGCTATGTCAATGGACAAGGAATTTGTAAGCCATGTTCCGACGATGGCGTTACAACGATCCCAAGCACCGAGATCAGGGTGATCATCGGCTGGTTTGGGGACAGACCCATGGAGAAAACCGAGTTTGTTTTTACCAATAAGTACCTTGACGATCGACCGAGACCAGAGATTATAGTTGTCTTCCCCAGTGAGTTTTTCCGGCACCAAAGAAATGCTTGAAGAATCCGCAGCATGGAGGTAGAGCGGATTCGAGTAAGGATCAAGAGAAGAGGGAGGGTGATTCGCAACATCAGAAAGAGGAGGAAGGGGCGAAGAGGCCTCAGCTTCCATGATCAAAGAAGGAAAAGGAAGGAATCAACGATGGAAAATAGCAGAAGAAGTAAAAAAA